GGGGTTGTGAGGGGTGGCTGATTATATACTATGGGGTTGGGGGAGGAAAAAGGGAGGTTTCTGAAAGAACTTTCATATGCTAAAGAAGACTCACAGGAGACTGGAGGCCTTGCCATTGTCAAGTTAAGGTTGTTTACCCCTCTAGTAAGGCATTAACATTAAGATAGTTGGGAACTTCTGGGAAGAACATTACACTTTGCCCACTTCAAGTATGTCGATGGGCGATGGGCAGCAGGTCATAAAGACATTTAATTGTATTTACACTCCCTTCTGGAAGCTATTGCTAAGGCTTTTGTAAGTAAACTGAGGAAGACTCAGGTCTTGCAGGATTGTGATCTCTTTAACTATTTGTTTTTCCTTTAGGGCAGCCAGGAGTGCCTGAGGAATGTCACATATATCCCATGGGGGTGGGGGATTGTGGGGTGTCAGCTTCTGCTTTGTCCTCAGCTTGCCTTCTGTTCCCTCAACAAAATGAACAAAAAATGGTCTTAAATCAATTTTGAGCAAAGATGAATTGATGTGTCTGGAAACACAGTCTACTTACCACGAACATGTAAAAAAGATTAATTTTGACAATATCATTGACAAATTTGGAGAAGGTAAGGGACACAAACAGAAATTGTAATATTATTTATTATTGTGACATACCTATATATAGGTGTAAATTCCACTCCCTTTCCAAAAAAATAAAGGCATTAATGTAATTGAAAAGATTTTATCCACACATTTTAATTTTCATTGGCATTATTTTATATACAACTTTTAAAAAATATTTTTTTATTTATTTGAGAGAGACAGCATGCACGAGCTGGGGGAGGGGCAGAAGGAGAGGGAGAGACAGAGAATCCCAAGCAGACTTGTGCAAGCGCAGAACCCCACATGGGGCTCGATCCCATGACCTAGAGATCATGACCTGAGCCGAAACCAAGAGTTGGACACCCAACTGAAAAAGCCACCAGACACCCCTATTTTATATACAACTTTCAACAAAAAATATTCACTACCTACATTTGTTTTCTGACCCTTATTATTCATTCATTCCATTTCATGATCATTATTGGAAACTATTTTGTTGTGTAAAGGAAAGGAAAGGAAAAATTAAAAACAAAACAAAAATAAGTCTGGGTGTTAAATATGCTAGGTACACCACTGCTTAAGAACTCAAGGATTAGTGAAGAAAACTGTTATAAGCATCTAACAATAAGAAAATGACACATAAATTCATCTCTTCCTTGGGGAGATTGGGAAATTTCAAATACAAATGCCATAGGAGAGTGAGGTATACACTATATATACTTCTCCCCCATTAAAATGGAAGAAAAGAGGCACAAGGTGGAAGGGATAATAGAAGTTATATGTGAAATGTGAACAATGTAGCAAATGGAAACCATGAAGCTACTGGAGCAGAAGGGTAGCAGGAGCATAAATAGATTCGGAAAAGATGGTTGAAGGCACATTTTAACTATGAAGGATCTATTGATATAAAGACAGCCTTTGGTTTATTTAAAAAGTTGTTAGCCCTCTAAGAAAGAATTCCATATCAACTACCTCATTTGTGATTAGCTTAAAATTAAAACTGGAATGACTGCTGTGAACAAAGCTAAGTAATTTTTTGGTCTGCCCAAACCAGAGGTACTTAAACAATTTAAGTGTTGGTTTTTTGTTTTGTTTTGTTTTTTTGTCCTCCAAATATAATATGAAACCAATTAGGATGGGGATTGGGTCTCATTCTTCTTTGTATTCAGACTTCTGAGAATATGGTACATGCTTAATTGACATTTAATTGCTTAATGGATAGAAGAGGTTAGAGAAGGGGGGATGGAGGGAGGGAGGAAGGAGATCCAAGTTAGCATTCAAATTAGAGATGCAATTTGAGGATTTTTTGGAAATTTGTGAACATTAATGGGGAAGATACTTTGGAAGGTTGCTATCTCCTGTAGACTCAATATTTTTTTCTACAGTTTTAAGTGAATGCTAATTTGTTTTTAATAATCTTGTTTTCTATTTAATTCATTTATTCATCTATTTATATCTATTTATTTATTTTTATTCACTTCTTTATGTAAGTTTTCCAAAAAGTCACCCTGAACATATGCTTCAGGCTCTCCTGTGTTTCCTTTTGCTGGTTTAACACTCATTCTAGTAAACCTAACAAAATAGATATTTGTGTAGGAAAGATATTATTTTTTGAGCTTTAATTCTGGGAGTAAATGCTACTGTTGATAACAAGCTAAATATATATAGAAATGAAAACATGACCAGGCTGATTCAGCTATTCTGAATGCGATGACTTATTGATGTAATATTTAATGTTATTCTTGATTCAACTAATTGTATTTTCACTTTATAAAATGTGTTTTTCATTTTTAAGAACTCTTCTCAGATTCATTTTTCTTTCAAGAGAAACTTGCTGTATGAATGCAATTTTTCATCAAATTTAATTTCACTGAGAATGTGAATTAGATAATTGTTGTTTGCTATTTTTGTTGTTGTTTGTTTTGATTAGATTGGTTTGTTTTTCACCTGCTTCTTACATTCATGTTTAACCAGGGGTATTTTCCTCTGAATACATGGATTGTTCTCCCCACCCCCTCCTGTTCCTTGAAATACTGAAATACTGAGAGATTTCTTTTTCTGGTTCATTAAGGATTCGTGTAATCAGTGTTCAATTGTTTTAATCCTAGACAAAAAGAGAAGACTAAAGTTTACATTTATTGAAAATCTCTTTGACAACTTAGCCAATTGTTTTTGTAGGATTGTGATTAGAGGAAGAGATTCTTAGAAAATAAAAATTATTACACAAAATTCTCCCAGGGGATAGTCTGGATTGACAGTAGAAATCCAGCTTATTATTGCCTGGAAGGTGCTCATCTCCTTACTGTTCTGTTAGAAGACTGGCTTTTCTTCCTTAAACCAGATATGCAATCTGTGAAAAATCCCGTTTTCCGAAGACTGTGTTATAGAACTGGGAGGCTGATGGACATTGAGATTAAGATCCACATGACTACTTCGCAACGTGTCTACAGAAAGTTAGCAAAACTTTCGTGGCAGGCTAAGTAAGGGGGAGAAACTCACTTATTTACTCTCCATTGAACCCTTCCATTCTGATATGTGTTAGTAAGAACCACAGAGCTCTTGGCTATAATATCTCCATCCAAACCTCTGCTCTAAGAGACTTGACATCGTCTAGCATGGCTAGAATCCCCCCTGAAATGCCTGCCTGAGAAAGCTTAGTGCTTCCAGGAAAATATACTGTTTGTTCTAGTCAAAACTTGGTGAAAGACACACCTCTAAATCCCCTCTTAGAGCAGTTATCTTAGAAAGCTTACAATTATAATTCCTTTCTCTGACCTTTGAAAAGTAAGTCTACTACTTGAAACTATTTCTTCAAGGACCTGAGAGCCATCTCTCTGAAATGCAAACATTCAGGGAGTTAAGAGAGATAATTCTCACTTTCCCAGTCCCTGTGGGAGCATAAGGGTCTAGCTTCAGCGGGGTCACCATCTTGCTTTAATGTGTATGGGTGCCACAATCATAAAGATAGGAGAGGTCTATTTCTCTCCTAGATAAGCACCAACTAACAAATCTTAATACCTCTTAATACTACTCAGTGTCTTTCCCTTAGCATACCTTTAAAAAGTCTTTAGTATTTTGTTTTGGGGAAGTCGCGTTCCTTCATGCTGGTCCCTCTTTTCCACAGTAATTATATTACTGAATGAAAGCTGTTCTCACTGCTTTAATGAGTGTCTGGCTTCGTTTCAGATGTCTCCTTCATTCTGCTTGCTGCATAGTCTTGTAAGTGGGTTGGGTACCTTTCTGGTTTCCAGTAATGATAAGTGTTTTCCGTATCTCATTAATTTAGGTATTTTGCATAATATTTCAGTCCCAGAATTCTCCATAAGCTGTCACACTAGTTTATTCTTATCTCTGGGGGATATGTTCCAAGATCCCCAGTGGATAGTACTGAACCTTATATATATACTGTTTTGTTCTTCTTCCTGTACATACATAGCCATGAAATAGGCTTTGTGACATAGGGCTAGGCTACTATTGACTTTCTGATGGTATATTAGGAGGATCATCTGCTTCCTGATGACCACAGTTGCCTGGGGGTAACTGACACCATGGAAAGCAAAACCACAAATAAAGGGGGGACTACGTACTTGTAGTATAAGTATATGAACAGATCATGCATTTTGTAGCAAAAGTACACTTTAGTTTGAGTCTTTGCCTCAATATTTTTATTAGCTTCTTAAAACTGGGTAAGAGACTAAAATTTCTGTATCTCATTTTCTTCATTTGAAAATTAAAAAAGGGGCACCTGGGTGGCTCGGGTCTTGATCTTGGGGTCTTGGGATTGAGCCACATATCAGGCTCAGTGGTGAGTCTGCTTCTCCCTCTCCCTCTATTATCTTTCATGCTCTCAAAAAATAAATAAATAAAATCTTTAAAAGAGTAAAATAATATTTATTATGGACTTGTTGGAAAATTGAGATTGAATGAGAAAACATGTGCAATGGGTAATACATAGCTCAGAGTAATTGTTCAATAAGTAATTACTACTTTGAATTATCAATCCCTGACAAATCCTGAAGAAATTTGCTTCTCCTCTTTGTCGTTACAATGCCTCCTTATGGCATCCTTCACACACCTGTCTGTAGGTTTCCTCTAATAGGTAGTGAGCTTCTTCACAGATATCTTTTATCCCTATATCTGCAGCTTCTGCCATTTGAAAAGATGGGCATTTGATAAATGTTTAGTGAATGAGCAAGTACATGAATAAATGAATGCATGTGTGAATTCATGTTTCATTTTTCTTATATTTGGTCTGAAACAAAGATCTATCTATTGTGTTGCCTTAAAATTTTCTTAAGGCTCGTCAGTCTTAGAAATAGGATCTAAAGGTACAAATGGGAACTTACCACAGCATAGTTTTCATTTCCTGCCTTTGGCTATATCTGGTTGGACTACTTACTTAAGCTCAACTTGCTAAAACTCAGTAAATGCCTACCCCACATGATTTGACTCATACATCCTTTTTTGTCCACAAGCAGTTGTCTTAAGAAAAGGAAGAGCTCTCAAATGCTGTGGCAATTTAGGAACTCAGTAGAACAATGGAATCCCGTTCTGGGGTAGAAAATTTGGATGAAGATGGTTATACTCAATTAGACTTCCGCTCTCAAGGCATCACTGGGAGACCTGTGGTCTTAGAGAAAGGTATCTTTTCTTTCTGCTTTCAATGTTCTCATCAACTAAAACATTTATGTGGAAAAAATTTGAGAGACTTATGATTTGTATGCTGAAAACCTTTTAAAAGATTTTCAGAAGTCACTGAAGATATTTTGAAATATCTTTGTTCGTTGCAAGCATTTGGTAACTAATTATTGGTATTTAAATTAATTATTAAGATGGCAGAAAATACAATTTCTCAGGTGCCTGGGTGACTCAGTTGGTCAAGTTTCTGCCTTTGGCTCAGGTCATGATCCCAGGGTCCTGGGATTGAATCCCACATTGGGCTCCTTGCTCAGCAGGGAGCCTGCTTCTCCCTCTGCCTCTGCCTCTCTCTCTTTCTGTCTCTCATGAATAAATAAAATCTTTAAAAAGAAAAAAAGAAAACACAATTTCTCTGTTCTGTAGAAATAGACACTTCAGCAGTAAGGAACTGTAAATAAGTGTGATGAAATGCAAAGATGTAAGAATTTCAATAGAAGTGACTTGCTTGTTTGGTAGAAAGGAGTAAATCGTAGAATGGAAGTCATGGAAACTTAAAGAACTGTATATGAACAACATCAGGATATTGGAGATAAGAGAGAGAAGATAGGTGAGGGAAAAAACAAATTTGTGATTTTGTGGTAAAGGCCAAAGGGACTTCAGAAGTCATAGGGTTTGGAATCATGAATCTGATGTGTTTTTTTGGGGTAAGACATTGATTTGGATTTTTTTTTTTTAACCAAATGGGAGTCTTTTGTATACTAGTGAAGGGAAATATATGTGCTAAATGAAAAGATTCCATTTGCAGAACATGAGTCTTAAACATAATAGAAAAGGAGTAAAATATGGAGGAAGGCATTACACGCTCTCTTCCTTAATAGAATGAGTCATTTGTTTCCTCTGTGGTTCTCCTATTTGACAATTCTCTGAAATGCTTGTAATGTTTATTCTCAAAGACAGAACTATATCCTTGGTGCAGTGGTATTAACACAACATCAGCTTCCTGTTATCAAGAGAAAGATTATTCATAAGTTTTGACATGAGAATTTGCTCTCTTCTGCTTTATGGTAACCCACATTGCACAATTATTTTCCCTTTACCACTTGTGCAATCCTTTTCTTGCTCAACCTGTTGAGGAGGATGGAAAAACTGGATGATACAAGAGGTAGGGAGGCAGGTGTATGTTTCTACGTATTTGTTGACAAACAGTGAGTTATGTATAACGTGCTAGTAGCCTCTAGACTAGATGCTTTTATGTGTTAGCTCATTTAGTTTCCACAATAATCCTCTGAGCTATTATTAACCCAATTTTTCACAAAGAGAAATGAATAAGCAGAGGGAGTAATTCACCCAAGGCTATGCAACAAATAAGTGAAAAGAGAAGGTTATCCTCAGCAACCAGGGCTATTTCCCCTACCGTAATATGTCTTCTATAAAAATGAGTGGGATTTCAGAAACTCTGGTAATGTCAGGACCATCAGTGTGAACCTCAAATTAGGGGTGTATAGGTATCAGGGCACTGTGCTGAAATTATAGTTCCAGGACCTAAGGAGGTATGCTAAATGTGAGGGAAAATTCAGATAATTCTAGATGACTAGATTATCTGCATATCGGAGATTAATAGTTCACTTTAGAATTTTCCAGATTTTGATGAACTGTAGACCTGAAATGCTCTGTGATTTGTCATATTTCTTCATTTTAATTTCTGTTCCCTCTGGCTTCCTAGTAACTTGTGCTACATCTCCTCATTGGCGTCCCATTGCTGTGACTTTGGGAATCCTATGCTTGCTAATATTGGTGATCGCTGTGATCCTGGGTACCATGGGTGAGTATTGGTGGGGGAGATCAACAACAGCAACAACAACAACAGACATTTGATAAGCATTTATTATGTGCCAGGCACTCTTTTAAGAGCTTGACATGCATAATCTAATTGAATCTGTATATTAACCACATTGAATCAGTGCTACTAATTCATTTTACTTATAAGAGAAGTGAGAGGTGGAGAGAGGTGCATTTCATTTTCTAGGGCCATAAACTAGTTAGTGGTAAGACCATGATTAGAAATTTAGGCAATCTGACTGAAAAAACGCATACTCTTTTTTTTCTTCCTTTTTTTGTTTTAGAGAGGGAGAGAGAGCCAGTACGAGTGGGGGAGGGACAGAGGGAAAGAGATTCTCAAGCAGACTCCACACTCAGCACTGAGCCTGACACGGAGCTCCATCTGATGACCCCGAGATCATGACCTGAGCTGAAATCAAGAGTCGGAGGCTTAACTGACTGAGCCACTCAGGCACCCCTAAAAAATGCATACTCTTAACTATATTGCTCTAGTATCTTCCTTGAATAGCTGGTTTTATTTTATTTTATTATTTTTTAAAATATTTTATTTATTTATTTGATAGAGAGAGACACAGCGAGAGAGGGAACACTAGCAGGGGAAGTGGGAGAGGGAGAAGCAGGCTTCCCGCAGAGCAGGGAGCCCGATGCAGGGCTCGATCCCAGGACCCCAGGATCAAGACCTGAGCCGAAGCCAGATGCTTAACAACTGAGCCACCCAGGCGACCCAAGGAGCTCTCATTTTTAAATAACAGAAGAAAGATAGAAGATTTATTACTATTTCAAATCTATCATGCTCCAATTGATGGTATTTCATGTGCCTTTTGTTTTCCCTTTCACACTCCTCTATCTGCTTTGTTTTTCTCCTTTTTACTACACCTTCATGGAAGTAATGTTTTCTTTCCATCTATTTATCTATCCTCTATTCTACCATATATCATCTATCTATCTATCTATCTATCTATCATCTATCTATCTATCTTTCTATCATCTACTTTTACCTCTCAATCAGCAATGTGTTATCTATTTATCATTAATCAAGAATATATCTCTTTGTATTCCAACAAAAATATGGATTTTGGAATTATAATTTCAAATATAGTAGAATGACTTTTTTTTCTGTCACTGTAATTTTTGTTAGCATATGAAGCTATTTGGAGATCCAATTCTGGGAGCAACCCATTGAAGAATGACAACTTCCCATCAAGAAATAAAGAGAACCACAGTCAATCCACACAATCATCTTTAGAAGACCATGTGGCTCCTACCAAGACTCTCACAACCACAGGCAAGGGCAGGGTTAAAAGATGAATGGAATCCTTGATACAGGAAAGTTAATTACTATGGCTAAGGCCTGGAGTAGGGTTGGTAAAGACAGTATTTTTACATGCAAGGATTGTGCATTCAAGGAAAGCACACATCAGTATTATCTCAGTATAGTATGTCCCTGTCATACATGTAATAAAGTGATATAAATATCCCATGCATTTGGTCAATGATTTCTAAGTTGGATTTTTTTTTTCTCAAATTAGTGATGAATTTATCACTCTCTACATATTTAGACCTATAGGAGATTGTATAACTTGATGCAAAGGAAAGAAATGTGTTCTCCCCCCACTTAAGAATTGACATTTTAAAGTAACAGAGATAGAATAGGAAAATGGATGTCAGAAAGGAAGAAAGGGAGAGAAAAGGAAAGAAGGGAAAATGTTCTTAGAATAAGAATTGTATGTGAATTAAACATATACAAGATACATAGACCTAATAGAATAGATACGTTCCTGAAAACTCTGGTTATATTTGTTTTTCTTTAGTCATACAATTTCATTACAATTTTAGACACACTTGACCTTTATTTCTAATTGTATTATAATTGACTATGATGATATTTTGACTTCAATTTTCCATCTCTGGACCCATACCTTCTCACTATTTGTATCAAGTAGCTAAAAATAGAAAGTAGAGATACTCTATAATGTGAATAATTGCTCTTATACGTTTCTCATTTGGAACGTTGCATTCTTTTTTTTTTTTAAAGATTTTATTTATTTATTTGAGAGAGAGAATGAGACAGAGAGAGAGAGCACGAGATGGGGGAGGGTCAGAGGGAGAAGCAGGCTCCCCGCCGAGCAGGGAGCCCGATGTGGGACTCGATCCCGGGACTCCAGGATCATGACCTGAGCCGAAGGCAGTCGTCCAACCAACTGAGCCACCCAGGCGCCCTGGAAAGTTGCATTCTTGAATGGATCTCACAACTCTAAAATAAGTTAACATGAAATTACTGTATATCTTGAAGATTGATTTTGAGTTGATTTATTTTAAAAATTATCATGAAGAAAAGGAGTAATGGACTGAAGGTGAAAGAATGGAAGACAGGTCAAGAAGGAAAGGAGGGTTGACTGTCTAAAACACTGTTTATAGTTAATTCATTTTTAAGTTTTAAATGAATGAGGGGGTTTCAATGTGGTCTCTTCAGTAAAAATCATATCCCTATAATTTGAACTGAAAATGGAATATATTACTGGTAATTCATTGATTATTAAGTATCCTTGGGATGAATGATGCTTGCACTGAAAGAGCAACTGGCATGTTATGAACCTCATTGTGTTTACTTTTTATTTCCAGGAGCTTTTTCCAGCTCTTGTCCTCCTAATTGGATCATACATAAAAACAACTGTTATCTATTTAGCACATCATTAGCTTCCTGGAATAGAAGTAAAAGACAGTGCTCTCAACTGCACTCTAACCTCCTGAAGATAGACAGTGCAGAAGAACTGGTAAGTGTAGACTTCAGTTATAATTATCTGTGGTCTATATTGAGCAGAAAAATAGAGGTAGATTCCAGGTAATGATAATTTTCCCTAAAAGAGGGCACCTGGGTAGCTCAGTCAGCTAAGTGTCTGCCTTTGGTTCAGGTCATGATCCCAGGGTCCTGGGATGGAGCCCCACATCCGGCTCCCTACTCAGCGAGGAGTTATCCCTCTCCCTCTGCCCCTCCCCACCGCTCACACTCTCTCTGTCTCTCGCAGATAAATAAATAAAATCTTAAAAAAATATATTTTCCCTAAGAGAAAGTCACATTTAATATCCTCCATAATTATAATAACAGCATGTATTAAGTGGGTAAAATATATGGTTTTTTAATTAATTCAAAAATAAATATTTTCACTTTATTTTAAAAAAGATTTTATTTATTTTATTTTAGAGAGAGAGTGTGTGTGCTTGAGGCGGGGAGGGGGTCAGAGGAAGAGAGAGAATCTCAAGGAGACCCTGCACTGAGTGTAGAGCCTGATGCAGGTCTCGATCTCATGACCCTGAGATCTAGACCTGAGCCAAAACCAAGAGTCGGATGCTTAACTAACTGCACCACCCAGGGGCCCCAGTGTGTTTTACCTTAAAACAAATCTATTCAAACATACTCCAAGTTTGCATGACAATAAGAATCAGGTCACTACTCATTTTTGTGTGTTTGGATTTCAATTCTTAAATTTGGTGGAGTAAAATAGAAAATTCTCCCCCTTGTCATCATTATCAAGGAAAATAGCAGCAATGATAATATACATTTATAAGTCATTTACTCCTTGCAAGATACCAGGAAAGGCAAAGAGGTTTAAAAAGTAACCTTGCTATTTCAATGCTTACATAGTTTGTAAGAAGAAAGAAAGAACTCAACAGCTGCTAAAAGTTAAATATCTGGTATTGGCACTCAGTGACATAGGAATTCAGACAGAGATCCCTGGATATATAAAGTTTTACAGAAAAAGTGGAAGTTATAATGCACTGTGAGTGAAGGGTAGAACTCAGTTGGGCTATAAGAAGGGATTAAAAACAATCTGTAACTCCTACATTTACTTTCACTTCCTTTCAACTTTTGTGTTTCTGTCCTGCATTACCCAACAGTTGTAGTTCGCATGAAAATGAATGGAAGTAGATTGTGGCAAAGAAAGGGAATGACACTGGAAGTCTGGCTTTTCGATGTTCCTGTCGTTTGTCGAATGTCATCATTAAACCTCAAATTACTTATTCATAGAACATGCAGTGGAACTATGTTAGTTTTATATTTTTATCTAACTCTGCAAAGGATTTCTTGACAAAAATGTGATAAATTCATATATTTGATTTGAGAAGATAGTGGCCTGTTGTCCATGAAAATTGCCTCGGAGCTCTGTCATTCTTGGAACTTGGCAGGCAGGTTGCATGGAGGCATTATAATTTTGACATTATGGGTCTATTCTTTATTGGAAAATTAAACAATAATGACTCTGAAGAAATGAAATATACTTTTTGAGGCACTCAATGGCATTTAATAATTGACACTTGTCTCTAGGTTGGTGCCCGTGTATGCATGCATTCTTCACCAAGGCGACTCAATCTGTTGTCTCTTTCTCAGTGTCTGTAAGAGTCTCTCTCCATCTTTTTATCTCTATCATCTCTGTCTGTCTCACTCTCTCAGTGACTCTTTGACATTTATGCTTTCCTACAGGAATTTATAGTAAGGCAAATGTCTTCTCAACCTGATAATTCATTCTGGATAGGACTTTCTCGCCATCAGACTGAAGGATCATGGCTCTGGGAGGACGGCTCAATGTTCTCTTCTAACTTGTAAGTATCTGGAAAGACAAAACTTCACACCCTTTCTCAGAAAGACAAGAGCATGTCAAGCAGTTAAGGATCTGATTTGTGAGCCATTTATGAGAATGAGAGAAAGGGAAATGGTGATGAAGAGAGAAAAAGAGTGAATCGGGAAAAAAAGAAAAGAGGGTAGAGGAGAATTTTACAGTCAAAACAAGTTGAGTGGTCATCTAGTGCTGTCAACACAAATGTTCCTCAGCTTTCTTACAAGGAGGGCATCTGGCACCTGTTAGAAGTAGTCCAGTTAGGAGCCATCACTGTTAGTATAAAACTGTGGTGAAGAGCATGGGCTTTGGAGTCACTTCTCAGGTTGAGACAATGATTGGCCCACTCACTGTGTGAAATTGGTTAAGCTGCTTGACCTACCTGAACCCCTCCCTCTTTCCTCATCTGTAAATGAGAATAATGAGAATGAAAGTAATACCTGTCTGATAGGATTTTAAGATAAAGGAGATAAAAGTCAAATCACTTAGCATAGTGTCCTGCACCTAAATATGTGACACATGCTATTATTAATTTTGAAAGTAACCACATTTCACACTTTATAAAGTTCTTTTAAACATATTTCCATTTTCATTATAAATTCTCCCTTACTGTGTGTGGATCAGCTAGGGTTCTTCAGAGAAGAAGATCTATATAGATCTCCTATTGGTTCTGAAGAACTCTGATCCACACACAATGAGGAATAATTGATACATGGAGATTTATTATGAGGAATTGGCTCCCATAAGTATGGAAGCTAAGAAGGCCCACAGTCTGCCATCTGCGAGCTGGTGACCCAGGAAAACCTGGGGCTATAAATTCCCTTCAAGTATGAAGGGCTGGGAACGAGGGGAGCTAATGGTGTAAAATCCAGGGCTCAGGTAGAAAGAAGATGAGCTACACTGAGATGTCTCAGCTCACAAAGTGAGGCAGGAAAAGGCAAAGTTTCCAAAGTATATTAAAATCTCCTGCTGTGGGCGCCTGGGTGGCTCAGATGGTTGAGCGTCTGCCTTTGGCTCAGGTCATGGTCCCGGGGTCCTGGGATCAAGTCCCGCATCGGGCTCCCTGCTCCTTGGGAGCCTGCTTCTCTCTCTGTCTCTCTCTTTCTCTCTCTCTCTGTCTCTCATGAATAAATAAATAAAATCTTTAAAAAAAAAAAAAATCTCCTGCTGTGATTCTACTTAAAATTCTGTAACTATTTTGAGGTGCCGATGCCGTATTATTAGGCACATATAGATTTAGAATTTCTATACTGTACAGGTGTACAGCCCATTCAAAGTACTTTTTCTTTTCTGTCTTTCCTCTTTTTGAACCGCTTAAATAATTTTATGACTCCATTTTTTCTTATATTAATTTAGAATTTACTCTTACTAGTTTTTTCATAGTTGCTCTGAAGATTACAACACACATTCTTCACTCATCAAAGTCTAATATTAATTGTTTTATAATGTTCTTCCTGGGCAATATAAAAATATATTCGAATATTTCTTTACTCTGTGTATTCCCTCCCCAATTTACATGCTATTATTTTTGTGTACTTCAATGCTCTCACATCTTTTCCCACGTTTTAAATCTCTACAGTTGGCACCTGTCTTACAACTGCAGGCCTTTTATAATCATTGTAGGTCTGAACTCAAGTTGAGCCCTGTTAAGAAGGCTTAGTGTTTGCTTCTGCCAGTCAAAGAGAGGCACCACAAACCTGAGATTACTTAAACACTCTGCTTGTTTTTTTTTGTTTTGTTTTGTTTTGTTATTTAAACACACTGGTATTATGGATTCGATTAGAAGATCTGTGTGAGTATGAGCTTGTGGTTCAGCTTCTCAGGGGATGTAATTTTTTTTCTCCCATCTTCCACTTGGTGGCAAGATTGAGACAGGCACTGCTCACTATTACTCTTTCCTGGTTATAGTTTTAGTTTTCATTTACTCCTACACCAGAATAATCCTTTGTTCTGCAGGGTTTTCTACCAAATTCCCATCTTGGATGAATTTATTTCACAGTATTAGTTAAATAAATGGTCTCTCAACAATTGATGGCATCTCAGATTCAGTAAAGAATATAGCCCTAGAAAACAGTAGATGTGTAGATTTATACACAGTTCATCTAGATTTTTCCATGTATTTATGGTTTGCATTGCTTCTTATTTATTTCTGTCTCCTACCTTCCATTTCAACCATTTTCCTTAAACCTGAAGAATACTCTCTACTATTCCCTTTAGAGTAGAAATTTTAGGGTTTAGTTCTTTGTGTCTAAAACTGTTTTTATTTCAACTTTTCTAAAAAAATATTTTCTTTGATTATAAAATTGGAAATGTGTAGTTTGTTTCTCTCAGCCGCTCAAAGATACTATTATAATGTTTTCCTATTTTTTATTATTGTTTTGGAAAGGTCAGCTGTTTGAAGGTAATATATGTTTTAAACCTGGTGCCTTTTTTCAGCTTTGGAAAATTCTCAGCCAACTTGCTTCAAATGTTGCTTCCACCCTATCTTTCTTCCCTTCTTCTGGGATTCCAGTTATATACATTATAGACCCATTTACAACATTCTGTATGTCTTGTTTGCTTAATCCTTCATCCTTTTTTCTTTATATATTTACTTCTCATATATCTTTCATTTCTCAATTTTTTTTTTCTCATCTGTGGTTAATCTGGTGTTAAAAGCCTCCATTAAGTTTTTAATTTTGTTTAGTGAATTTTTCAGTTCTGTAACTTCAGCTTGGTTCTTTGTCAAATCTACTCTGTCACTATTTATAATTCCTAGTTTTCTTCCAACATTCTCAAATTTATCTTTTAACTCCTAGAATATAGTTGCTTTAACATTTGTATTTGATAATTCCAACGTCTTATACTCATGTATGTCTGTTTCTATTATGTTTTTCTCCTATTTTTCATTCATGTTGATTTTTCTTATATGTCTGATTATTTTGTTATTAATTTTTAAAATTTTACTTCCAGTATAATTAACATATAGTGTTATATTAGTTTTAGGTGTTCAATATTGTGATTCATCAATTCTATGCAATACTCAATGCTTCTCATGATAAAGTATACTCTTTAATCCCCATCACCTATTTCACCCATTTCACAACCCACTTTCTCTCTAGTAACCTGTTCGTGTTCTATAATTAAGAGTCTGTTTTTTGGTTTGTCTCTTTTTTCCTTTGTTCATTTGTTTTTTCCCCTTAAATTTCACATATGAGTGAAATCATATGGTATTTGTCTTTCTGTGACTGGCTTATTTCACTTAGCATTATACTCTCTATCTCTATCCATGTTATTGCAAATGGCAAGATTTCATTCTTTTTTATGGCTGAATAATATTCCAGTGTGTGTGTGTGTGTGTGTGTGTGTGTGTGTGTGTATAGCCCCTCTTCTTTATCCATTTATCTATCCTTGGCCACTTAGGCTGCTTCCATAATTTGGCTACTGTAAGTAAAACTGCTATAAACATAGAGGTGCATGTATCCCTTTGAATTAGTGCTTTCATATTCTTTAGGTAAATACCCAGTACTGTGATTCCTGGATCCTAGGGTAATTCTAGTTTTAATTTTTTGAGGAACTCCATACCATTTTCCACAGTGGCTGCACCAGTTGCATTCCTACCAACAGTGTAAGAAGGTTCCTTTTTCTCCACATCTTCAACACTTGTTTCCTGAGTTTTTGATTTTGGCCATTCTGACAGGTGTGAGGTGATATCTCACTGTGGCTTTGATTTGCATTTCCCTGATGATGAGTGTTATTGAGCATCTTTTCATGTGTCTGTTGGCCATCTGAATGTCTTCTTTGGAGAAATATCTGTTCATGTCTTCTTCCCATTTTTTAATTGGATTATTTGATTTTTATGCCTGATTTTTTTAAAGATTTTATTTATTTATTTGACAGACAGACACAGCAAGAGAAGGAACATAAGCAGGGGGAATGGGAGAGGGAGAAGCAGACTCCCCACTGAGCAAGGAGCCCAATGTGGGGCTCGATCCCAGGACCCTGGGATCATGACCTGAGCCAAAGGCAGACACTTGACTACTGAACCACCCAGGCACCCCATGCCTGATTATTTTTGATAGTGTGCTCAACATTGTATCTTAAATGTTGTATAATTAATTTGAAATTTACAGGGTGGCTTTTAATTTGCTTCTGGTAGGCATCATTTGGGTGTAAATAATACAAACTGCTGAGTATAATCACATTTTGATTTTAACACCACTTAACTATTTCACTTCCACCAGCCTAAGCACAGTGAATTTGTTAACAATCTTGACAAAATGTATGTCCTACTTTTTTTATAGCACTTGTCTTGAGTTTTCTTTTGCTATTTAAACATATGACTAGTGGACTCTTTCTAAAAATCACAAGAGTGGGCCCAAATTATCACTTTGATATGTTACTATGCCTTGGTTTCCTGGATGGCAGTAACTTAATGTAGCTCTGTCCATGCCCAAAAAAAACTCTTGGATGTCAAGGAAAACTTTTGGAGAACACCAGTCAGAATTCTCCCTGATGCCTGAATCAAAGTTGTTTCATGCTTTTAGCCTAGTCATTTCTACAAAAGAATTGTCTCAATCCTCCAGCCCCAGGTCCAAGAAGAGCTAGATACACAAGATGAAGAGTACCAGTCCACAGCTTTTACAGTGAAGCTCAGTGTTGCCTTTTAAGCTCGACTAATTAACACTGCTCCTTCAGGAGACTGAAGAGCAAATAGAACAGAGCTGTACTCCCACTTACCCATGATAATTATCATAATTGTCTATCACTGTATTGTAATATAATTTTGTCTTCAGAATGCATTAAAATATATAATGCTGTTTTCCCTGCCTTTAAATGGCCTTGATATCTATGATTCTTCATTTATTTTTTTAAGATTTTATTTATTATTTGAGAGAGAGAGAGTGCATAAGAGAGAGTGATCATAAGCAGGGGGGAGGGGTAGAGGGAGAAGCAGACTCCCCACTGAACAGGGAGCCTGATGTGGGACTCAATCCCAGGACCCTGGGATCATGACCTGTGATAAAGGCAGATGCTTAACTGACTGAGCCACCCAGGTGCACCTATGATTCTTCACTTAGTTCTAGATACTTCTCAATAACTCTTCTGCTTGGTTTCACTAGTCTGTTGCTTTATTTGATAAATATACTTCTAGGTAAGAGGTTGAAAGATAAATAAAGAACTGTCTATAGAATACTATATGATTTTTCTTATCTGTCAGGAGCTTTATTTAGTTTCATGTGACTAATAATATTTTTCTTAAAAAATTTTGAGTCGTTTTTATGCCTTAATAATGAATGCTCTTCCGTTACCATTTGAGAACTAATGCAATCTAAATTCAAGTTTCCTTTCCCAATAATGTAACCATTTAGGAACTCTTTTCACCAATATCCTTACCCATATCCTTGCTAATTTATTTCAGCATTGTGTAGATAGTAGACAGTATTTCTTACATTTGTTTTAATTGCCTCATTATATTTTAACAGGTTTCAAATCAGAAGCACAGAAACCCAAGAAAACTCATCTCAGAGTTGTGTGTGGATTCACCTGTCAATAATTTATGACCAACTTTGTAGTGTGCCCTCATACAGTATTTGTGAGAAGAAGTTGTCAATAAAATGATGGGGGTGTCAGGGTGGAAGAGCAGACAGAAGTATGTAAAATATTAAGAAGGGCAGAAAACAAAACAGAAAAGAGAGATATTTGAGGTCAAAATAACTGCTGAAAAGATCAAGAGAGCTCAGCCAACTTTAATCTTAGATGAGAATGGAAAAGCTATGATTCTGAACTTACCAACTGAAATGGCAGGCCAGTATTAGGTTCTAGTTAATAGACCCCTAGAAATGGAATCAAGTCAGCTAAACTTAAATTTTCATTCTACCACTGACTGACCTAATATTAACATGGAATTAGCCATAAATCTTTGGTGTTTCAAGAAGATCTTTATTTCTGGGTCTATTAAAGTTGCTTTTTGTCCTTAAAAAATGCCCCTGGAGTACACATGATTTGTTTCCATGATATGCTCCTCCATGTCTAATAGTGTATCAGACACAGGTGGAAGGCAAAATGTATTTCTGAATAGCAAAATGAGGAAAAAAAAATCTTCACTACAATCAGAGCTATTTTATTATTTTGTTCATCAATATGGTTATGATCAAAAAACATCATGAAAAAGCAGCAACTCCATCTCTTTTTTTTCCCTCAGTTAAATAGCCCAGAGAATATGTCTGCCACATCTCTGACTAATAGGATCTTGTATATTGTGAAATAGTATGGTAACTGCTCTTATAAGAAAGTGTTCTCCATTGTAAATATTATCAATCAAAAAAGATCTGGTAATGAATGTAGAAAAAGAAAAAAAAAAAAAAACAATCCAGGGGCCTGGGTGGCTCAGTTGGTTGAACATCCAACTCTTGATTTTGGCTGGGGTGGTGATCTCAGGATCCTGAAATTGAGCCCCGTGTCAGGCTCCACGCTGAGCGTGGAGTCTGCTTGGGATTCTCTCTCTCCTTCTCCCTCTGCCCCTCCCCCTGCTTGTGTATGCTCTCTCTAAATAAATAAATAAAATCTGAAAAAAAAAATCTTATCACTGAGGTATTAACATTCTGAAAGGCAAAACATGTCTTACTATTTTTTATGATTACCGTTTTGCAGTTTTTAGCAATTCTTCAATAATTATAATTAAAAGGTATTATTGGAACATGTTTCCTTATATGATGATCTGTCTCTTTCTTATTTTCTCTTAAATTTCCCCCTTGGTGGTGTTTTTATTTTCATTGTTATTACCATGTGAACAGAAAACTGCATCAAGTTCACTGGATTTTTCACTTTAAAATGATTAATTTTATGTTATGTGAATTTCACTGTAATAAAAAAAATGATAATCAAAGAACCTTTGGCCTCCAAATGCTGTGTGTAGTAAATATTATCACAATATGCCTTCTTCCCATAAGAAAATGATGGTGAACTTGGCTCTTAGGAAGAGGTAGTATAGTAGTAGTTTTATGTTGAACAATAAATTTGGGATCTTAAGTATTTAAAGATTGAAAAGAAGAAGATATAGAAATTTTTGGTGAAGTCTCTTAATGGCTTTTAATATACAAACTTGAATTGTCACTATATGAAAAGACATGTGGAAAGGGCAAAGATAATTCGAGAGTTAAATTAAGGCACAAGGTGAGATTTTGAAGAGTACCATGTCTTTTAATTTTGTTTTTGGTTTGATCAATTTCTCCTGGGTCCTGAGAATGGAGTGGATGATTTGAGAAGTCATAATAATAAAAAATAATTCTGGATGCAGAATGTACTTAGAGCAGACACTATTTATTGTTTAAATATTTATGATTTAAAGATAAAAGTGTGACTATAACAAAATGATGGTACAAAGTAAGATGCTCTAGGTTGTCCAAGCATACTATACCTGACTGGTTAATACATGTTTATACCACAGTTTACATGGGCATGTACGTGGGAATGAACAGGAAACATCCATTTTTCCAAGAGACAGAAAAGGGAAAATAGATACTAGCTGAACTTTTTTTTTTTTTTTAAGATTTTATTTATTTATTTGATTGACAGAGAGAGAGAGAGAGCAAGAGAGGGAACACAAGCAGGGGGAGTGGGAGAGGGAGAAGCAGGCTTCCAGCCAAGCAGGGAGCCCGACAGGGGGCTCGATCCCAGAACCCTGGGACAATGACCTGAGCCGAAGGCAGCCGCTCAACCAACTGAGCTACCCAGGCGCCCCTGAACTTCTATCTAAAGGGTAAATTCAAGATGAGTAATGATCATGCTTGAGGAAACACTTACCTACTCGAGGGCCACCAACTTCTCTGGCCTGAGTTATTGTGGTAATTTTCGAAGTAATCTCCCAGTGTCCGCCTTTGTCCTTCTAAGCTACTTTTTCAAACATAGCAGAGTGATTCTTTTAAATTTAAAACAAATCATGTCAGCCCTCTACTCAAAATCTCCTAGACTTCCCATGTACCTCAGAGTAAAACTAAATATAAATAAATAAAAATGAAAAAGAAAAGACCTTTTCAATTGTCAGTGGGCCTCTTTACTCCTTTGACCTAATCTACTTTTCTCCTCTTCACTCATTCCATTTAGGACACTGGTTTCTCTCTTGTTTCGTAATAACTGGCATGCTTCCACCTCAGGGCATTTGAGCTTTCTGTTCTCTTTACCTGAATGATTCTTACCCTAGATATTTCAGGACCTACTCTTGCACTTCTTATAAAATCTCTGCACATACATCATTTTCTTAAGGAGGCTGACTCTGACTGCCATATTTAAAATTACCAACCCTCCTTTTTGTATATTCTTTTTTTTTATTTTTAAGATTTATTTATTTATTTATTTTAGAGAGAGAGAGGGTGGGGGCAGAGGGAGAAAGAAAATCTCAAGCAGACTTGCCACTGAGTGTGGAGCCCAACGCAGGGCTCAGTCTTACAACCCTGAGATCATGACCCGAGCCTAAATCAAGAGTCAGTCACCCAGCTGACTGAGCCACCCAGGTGCCCCTCCTTTTTGTATATTCTTAATCTCCCTTACCTTCCATATATTTTCATAAGTCTTATTATAGTCTAATATACTCTATTATTTACTTACTTTCTTTTATGTTACCTGCCTTCCTCCATAAAATATAGGCTCTAAAGGACAGAAAGTTTTGTTTTACACTGAATGCATCCTAGAATCTGAGAATAGCATCTGAAACAAAGCAGATGTTCAAAAAATATTTTTGTCGTTGTTGAAAAAATAAGTATTTAAGGACAAGTAGGAAAAATGTTAGTACAGGTTGTTTGGTGAAAAGTATCTAGGATCTACTTGAATCAATGAAGTTTGGAGAATAGTTTTAACTGCTTTTCATGTGAATCATAATCATTAGCACCTTCTAAATGTATTCTTTCAGGCCCCCGCTCTTGCAGTTTCTATTATTGATCTTCCTGCTCCTTTCTTCTATGTGTTTCACTTACCTCTTCCTTCAAGTTTTTTTACTGCCTTATCTCCTGTAACATTTTCTAATACATCAATGCAATGCAAATAACCAAATAATTTTTTATTTACTGCTTTTTACAAGGCATGCTGCAAGAGAAAGGTCCCTTTAGGTTTGTTTTATTTAGAATAACCTGATGAACAATACATAGTTTGAGACATAATAAATCTACAGTATATGTTTCCTAATCCACCCCTCATAGGGCCTGCCTGTCCCCACCCAAGCATCTTCTCCATTTCTTTATATTTTGTATGCTTGATTTAGCTAAGCTAATAACCAAAACATAGAAAAGTATAGGTAAAATAATACAGTTGTATTTTATTAATTCAAGAAAGATTTTTGGACATTATCTAAAACAGTTTTTTCATTTCCTTCTGAGCTTAGGAAATTTAGGTAAAAATTGTTACCTGGTTTCCTGGAGTCACATATAAAGTTACATGTAGTTAGCAATAATTCTAAAAGTCCTGACTTACAATTAATTGTGTAATTGTTCATGATAATGGTCTACCAAAAGTGTTAGAAAATGTTAAATTGAGTTCATATAACGTAAGAAGAAAGATCATTGAATTGACAACAGGAAGACTACGTTTTAAAGAAATTCAGTGTAGTTAACATACACTGTTACATTAGTTTCAGGTACATGTCCATATATTACTCAGTGCTCATCAGATAAGTGTACTCTTAATCCCCTTCACCTATCACCCATCCCCCTACACACCTTCCCTCTGGTAACTGTTTGTTCTCTGTAGTTAAGAGTCTGTTTCTGGTGGGCGCCTGGGTGGCTCAGTCATTAAGCGTCTGCCTTCAGCTCAGGTCATGATCCCAGGGTCCTGGGATTGAGTCCCACATCGGGCTCCCTGCTCCGCGGGAAGCCTGCTTCTCCCTCTCCCATTCCCCCTGCTTGTGTTCCTGTTCTCGCTATTTCTCTATCAAAAAAAAAAAAAAAAAAAAGAGTCTGTCTCTGGTTTGTCTCTTTTTTCCTTTGTTCATTATTATTTCCCTTAAATTCCACATATGAACAAAATCATATGGTATTTGTCTTTCTCTGGTTTATTTCACTTAGCATTACATTGTCTAGCTCTATCCATGTCATTGCAACTAGTAAGATTTCATTCTTTTTTTTTTTAAAGATTTTTATTTATTTTTATTTGAGAGAGAGAGAATGAGAGAGAGCACATGAGAGGGGGGAGGGTCAGAGGGAGAAGCAGACTCCCTGCCGAGCAGGGAGCCCGATGCGGGACTCGATCCAGGGACTCCAGGATCATGACCTGAGCTGAAAGCAGTCGCTTAACCAACTGAGCCACCCAGGCGCCCGATTTCATTCTTTTTTAATGGCTGAATAATATTCCTATATATATATATATATATATATATATATATATATATATATATATATATATATATATAGGAATATATATGTGTGTGTATATATATATATATAGGAATATATATGTGTGTGTGTATATATATATATATATATATATATATATATATATATATACCACCTATATATATATATGCCACATATACCACCTCTTCTTTATCCATTCATCTATCAGTGGGCACTTGGGCTGCTTCCATAGTTTGGCTATTATAAATAAAGCTGCAATAAACATAGGGGTGCATGTATCCCTTTGAATTAGTGTTTTGTATTCTTTAGGTAAATACCTAGTAGTGCAATTACTGGATCATATGGTAGTTCTATTTTTTAATTTTTTGAGGAACCTCCATACCGTCTTCCAGAGTGGCTGCACTGATTGCATTCCCACCAACAGTGTAAGAAGGTTCCTTTTTCTCTACATCCTTGCCAAAACTTGTTTCTTGAGTTTTTGATTTTAGCCATTCTGACAGGTGTGAGGTGTTATCTCACTGTGTTTTTGATTTCCATTTCCCTGATGATGAGTGTTATTGAGCATCTTTTAATGTGTCTGTTGGCCATCTGAATGTCTTCTTTGGAGAAATGTCTGTTCATGTCTTCTGCCCAATTTTTAATTGGAATTTTTGGTTTTTTGTTGTTGAGTTGTATAATTTCTTTCTATATTTTGGATACTAACCTTTTGTTGGATATGTCATTTGCAAATATCTTCTCCCATTCAGTAGGTTATCTTCTAGTTTTATTGGTTGTTTCCTTTTCAGTGCAGAAGGCTGTTATTTTGATATAGTCCCAGTAGTTTATTTTTGTTTTTGTTTCCCCTTTCTCAAGAGACATATTTAGAAAGACGTTGTTATGGCCAATGTCAGAGAAATTACTGCCTATGATCTCTTCTAGGATTTTTATAGTTTCAGGTTTCACATTTAGGTCCTTAGTCCATTTTTAGTTTATTTTTGTGTATGGTATAAGAAAGTGGTCTAGTTTCATTCTTTTGCTTGTTGCTGTCCAGTTTTCCCAACACTGTTTGTTGAAGAGACTTTTTCCCATTGTGTATTCTTGTCTCGTTTGTCAGAGATTAATTGACCATAGCATTATTGGTTTATTTCTGGACTTTCTATGCTAATCTATTGATCCATGTGTCTATTTTTGTGTCAGTACCATACTGTTTTTTTTTTTTTTAAAGATTTTATTTATTTACTTGAGAGAGAGAATGAGAGAGAGAGAGCACATGAGAGGGGGGAGAGTCAGAGGGAGAAGCAAACTCCCTGCTGAGCAGGGAGCCCGATGTGGGACTCGATCCCGGGACTCCAGGATCATGACCTGAGCCGGAGGCAGTCGCTTAACCAACTGAGCCACCCAGGCGCCCAGTACCATACTGTTTTGATCACAGTTTTATAGTATAACTTGAAGTCTGGGATTTTGATACCTACAGTTTTGTTGTTCTTTTTCAAGATTGCATTGGCTATTTGGTGTCTTTTGTAGTTCCATACAAATTTTAGGATTGTTTGTTCTAGTTCTGTGAAAAATG